AAGCAACTAATAAAAGTAAGTGACCAGAAAAATGTGCTATTTTCCTGACGGAGGTTTGCCAAACAGAAAAAATCTGATTTTACTTTCTCTGCTACACCAATGTGAGCAACAGCCTCAGCCTGGTCCTCCCTATTAAAACTGTCTGGCTCCATCACTGACTCCTGCTCCAACTCTTCGCTCATTTTTGGATTAGCCACGAGTTAGGAGAAGCCAGGCTCTGCAAAGCCGACGCCGAGCTTCCAAACTGCTGCTCAGGAAACTTATGAGTGACGTCATGGAGAGTTTGTTCATCTTTATCTGCAGTCTATGTAAACCTTCTTTTTATATTTATATCATGCACACATTCCCTCCTAGTGAGGGTAGCTAGAACTTTTAGCCGATGTAGCTCAACTATGAGAGACAATGAAAAACAGAAGCAGGTATAGGTGCAGACAGAAGACGCTGTGTTGGTCATGTGGGCTTCAGTTAACATGATCCAGAACAGAACTATGCAAATACTGCAAGAAATTATTCCTGTTTCAAAAGAGAAACACAACCAGCTTGTTCCCATGTCTTAAACAGAATCATGAATTAGCTTGTGCACGTCCAAGATAAAGCAGAATAAAACCACCACATGCCTAACTTGGGAGCTTTTCAGACACGGCAGCGTGTTGCAGTGTTTAGTCCAATCATGTGCTTTAATGCAAATCAAGTTTTTATGCAAAGCAAAGTTCAACCGGCTGAGATATGCAGCATCATGGAACTGGACAGGTTTTTTTATGTGGTGCTTGTTACCACTAACACACTGAACTGTTTATTAAATCTACATGAGTCTGCATTTTTTTTTTTTTTCACAGCCCGATTTGTATTCCAAATTTAATTGGACCAGTTCACGGGAGCTTGACTAAATGTTTAATGTTTTCTGAGCACTTGGTCGGCGTGGTTCAGTGGTTCGACCAATGGAGAATTAAATTTGTGTCTCTCCCTAAAGACCTTATCAGATGCCAGTGAAACGAGGCCATCTGTTGGGAGAGTGTTAGTGAAGTGGCCGTGCTGCAGACAGACCACCCCATGCAAATGAGTCTGGTCACATAGAACTGTAAACGCAGACTGACCAGCTTTGTTAGGATTTACTTCACGGCTACGTTAGCTTAGCATTATGGTTGGAGACGGAATTTAAATGTGTTTTGTGTGTGTGTGTGTGTGTGATATCCTCCACAACATCAGGAACATCTGCTTTTTATAGTTATTGTCTAATGTGTTGTGCAGCTGCTTAATTCCTCACTTTTGGATCATTTATTCAACAAATACTTCTTGGTGGTTGAGTTATAACTTGTTAACTTTAACTGTTTTAGTGCGTCTGAGGTGCATCTCTAATTGAGTCACTCATCGTCTGAATGTTATGTAAGCGTCAAAATCTTAACGGCATAATTATCAGACATTCGAAGAGGAAAAGTCGTCTTGTACAGTCGTCCTCAGATGTATTCATACCCGCCCATTAAAGAAGGAAAAACACAGCTTCAGTCACTGAAATAAGGTGAAATTGACAAAAGTAATGAACATCATGACGTTGCTTTTGAATTGTGGTTCAACAGAAATATAAAAAAACAAACAAACAAACAAGCATGATGGGACCCGTAAACTAATATCTAATTGAGCAACCCTTTGAGCCAATCACTGCCATCATCAGGTGTTTCCTGTAACTCTCAGTCAGACTTCTGCACCTGTTGACAGGTATTCATTTGTCCAGGACAGTTTTGTTTGTTTTTTTTGTTTTTTTTAAATTATTCTTTTCAACTATAATTCAAAACCAATGTCTTCTTTCACTAAATTACAATTTAGCAAATTTTTATTTATTATTACTTTTTCCAGTTTCTAGTTATTTGAGTGACTGTTGTGAATTTTGCCTTTTCTTTAATGGAAATGTCTGAACACATTTGAGGACGACTGTATATATTGTAAAAGCGGTTTGAAGTGGTAATCTGCATCCTAATTCCTTATTACAGGTTTGGAGTTTGTGGTGTGGTCACACCGAAGAAAACAGGGAACAACTGAAGCAGGCAAGTCAGCATTCATTCTAATTTAACAGAATAGAATTGTTTCAATACTAAAAAATAATGTGAAGCTAAATTGAGGAAAGTGCTGTCAGGTTTTACTACATTTAAATAGTTTTGTGGACTTTTTCACAGCATAAATATGACAAATTCAAGTTGGTTCTTTTTTAATTTGAGCTCGATTTGCTGTGTGAAGGAGTGAATGCTACCCAGACAACAACACAAATATCTGTTATTTGATAAATATACATTAAGAACAACAAGCAGCCTCGTATTCGTCACAAAAAGTACCGACGCCGTGAGTCAGAACACTTCTAATTTCTTTTTATTCATCCAGTTTTGCTACATGACAGTTTTATTACAGCTCAAATGTGCGACGTCTTCTATCAACAACATATTGCTGTAGCCTAAAAAAATAAATAAAGATTTAGTTTTCCTCTTCACAACGATGAAGACGTGACGTTTGCACAACACTTAATATCAAACTGACGCAATGAAACAGCGATGAGCTTCACATTAATCACCATTTACAGAGATGTTATGATATTTATTCATCAGGCGACGGGAACACAGCAGATGTACTCGCCTGATTATTCACTTCTTTTTTTGTTTTTAATGAATGGAACAAGTGGATAAGCAGCTGAACAACACATAGCAGACAGTACATTCTTTTACATGTTTCACTCAGATTAGACAGCAAGCACCAAGTAGAAACACATCAAATGAACATCAGAGTTAAAACACTGAACACTGACAGAAGATCACATCTGATAGGACCTGTGGACGACAGTTTGCATGACTTTACGTTTTAAGGCATTTTGAATTCCCTTTAACAACATTTTACTTCACTCGTATTCTCACGTGGACATAGAAAAATACAGCTATTAGAAGAATAAACATGCACGTGTGTCGCTTATAGTCTTTTTTCACATTCACGTTGGCGGATGAGACACTCTCAGCTTACGCGCCGTGTGGACACAAACATCCTCACGTCTTCACCGCTAAGGACCACTGATTCGATTTGCTGAAACACGAGCCACCACAGATTGAACACGATACGCATTTGTAGAGGAATCTAAGCCACGGTACACTCCGAGTGGACACTTTTGACCGAAACAGCATGCATGATGTGGATCACCGTCGTTCTGAATATCAAAAATAGCAACTGCAGTTAATTTATTGTCACACGAAGCTGCATGCATCTAAAGAGCTGATTTGGCACATTTACCCTCATGTTGTGTTATTGCACTTACAGTCTAACAGCTACCCTCATTCTGAGTGCAAATGCAAAGCACTACGTATACACATGGACACAGTGGGTTGCCTCGGTCACCACTGGACTGGACCTTGCTTACAGAGCTGCACCGTTCATCACATCTATTGCTATGATAAAGAACACACACATACAGCACGACTCACGTTTCTCTCTTTACGCACATAAATTATAACCATTTCTCAGCTTATAGCTATTTTTTTTTCACATCTCTGTATAGATAAATAAATAAATAAAGTGCCTTCATGTATGCACAAACTTTTTTCACGGCCGTTTGGCGTCGATAGAAGAATAAAAACATTTAAAAGGGTTTTGCGGCACAACATGATGGCACACATGACGTGAGGTCGGCAGGGTCACATTAACAGGATGTCACGATTGTTCTAAGTCACTTGGATATATTCTGTCACGTATAAGAACACTGCTACTCTACATACACATGAGGATCATTCAGTTGAATCACTCTCTGACTGAGGAGTCGACCCTCAGGTCAGTGCTACAAAATGGCTTCAGCTTCCTAAGTCAAGCGGGGTCGGCGTTGGACCCGAAATCATTCTATCGTCCACACACAGTTTTCATTCATATTCTTTTTTTACATTTATATACTATATATATAGTCACATGAGAACTTTAAGGCTTCGTATTTTGTTGTGAAGGAAACACTATTGCACAAAGACACACGAACGCGTCTCAGCTACTGAGTCTAGAGCTAAGGTCTAAGTCTAAGGGTGCTGAGTGGAGCCGCCCAGTGCTCTCCCAGTATGGCTCACTTCCCTGATTTGTGAGGCTGCCCGGCCCCTTGGCTGCTCCCAGCCGGCTTGGTGGCTGCAGCGCCGCTTCTATTGCACAGGTCCCTGATTTCCAGCAGGCCCTCGTTCAGGGCTTTGACGAAAACCACCGAGCTCGTCTCCGTGTTCTCCCAGAAGCTGGACACGCAGAACACGATGTGGTCCGACTGCGGGTTGTAGCAGGCGCCGTAGCCGTTGGCCACCACCGGGCCGTAGCAGCAGAACATCTCCACTGTGGTGGGAACCTGGAGATGAGAATGCACAGCCGGGCTTAGAGAGCTGTCAGATATGGACTACAACTAACAGTTGTTGCTATATTTTGATGATTTTATTTATTTTGTTTATAAACCGCCAAAAAAATACAGGTTCCCGGAGCTCAAGTGCCAAATAAACCACCAGATTTTTTTTCCTCCAGTGTCCTAGTAGATGAGTTGTTGCAGCTGGCAGCACTATAAAATGTGAAGTTTAGTTTCTGTAGGTGACTGTTTTAGCAGAAAGGTTATTATTAAAACGCTGTTGGTTGAATCACTTCACTGACACCAGACAGTAGTAAAACACAAACCACAGAATATTGCTTAAACTTTAATAACACTGAAGTTGCAGCATCGTGCAGACACCTGATGCTCTTTGCTTTGCTTCCAGAAATGTAGAAGTGCAACCAAAGCGGAGAGTCACACCTAAACCTCAGTCAGACAACAACAACTCTGAGCTGCTGTTAATGTGCGGCATGCTGCGTAAAGTGTGCGGCTGCCTGAATTATTCTAAGTGCAGGGTTGAAGTCTGTCAGTGAAGCTACTGAGGACAGTAGATTCTGGCAGGGTCTTGTGGCAGGTCTATGTGGTGTCTGGTAGTCCACATCGTGGGCTTTGAAGTGGTCCCCAGGTAAAAGGTTACACCTGGTTTGGTATTTATGGACCTTGAAGACCAGAGTGACCAGGTTAGAGGTCGCTGAAGGAGAGTTGTCCCACTGTTCCCCTATAAAAGCCGGTGGTTAAAGCTGGTCTGATGGTTGATTCTTATCGGCTTCGACTCCTCTCGCAGGTAAACCATGATGTCTGAGATGCTATACTTGTTTCAGTAAACCTTTTTATATAACCACAAGATGGTCGAGGGGAGAATTTCTTCATCATCTTCACATCATCGCTGCTCTAAGAAACAACAACTACGACAGCAAACACTGGACCTCAGGCAGAAACACCAGCATAAGCTAAATGTCTTTAATTAGCTCCGTGCATTTTGAAAACTGCTGTTGCCGTGTTGTGGTTGCACTTTTGCAGTCTCAGTCTCTTTTAAAAATGATTACAGTTGACTTTGGCGAGTCTTTTCCAGAAGCCTCTCCCTTAGCTGTTTCTCCACTGACTGTACAGATGAACAAAGCAGCTCAACTTGAGCGCTAAATGTGTTAAATTTGCAGAAAACGCAGCATCTGCAGGTTGGATGTCAGGTTGGCGACCAATTCGCTGGTTGTCTTTTCTCCAGAAGTACGTTAGAAGAACGGGACGGTCAGCGTGGACTTTAAAGACAAGCTCCATCTTTATGTAATTCACGGTTAGGTAAAAGAAAAGCACGGGAACATCAATCTGTCTGTTTTTTTTCTTTATGGATTAATTCCTGTGTTTCATCAGCAAGAAAATGTAGCTCGATGGGTTGTACATACGTCCAGTGTCAAGCATGGACGCCGAATTTAAAGCAATACTTTAAAAAAATAAAGTGTTTTAAGGTTAAATAGATTAGGACTACATGTTACCTGACTGGTTGAGAGGATGAACTGGTTACTGGCCAGATACGTCTCATCACAGAAGATCTCTGGCTTCTCCATGTTGAGGTCCTTTGCGACCCTCAGGAGCCCGAGGAGGTGATTGTCTATTGCCATTCCTGTAATAGCCTGAAAGACATGCTTTGGCTCAGTGGAGACTTTACCCAGTCCTCGTTCTGTAACTTTCCTACGTTTAAAATAAATCGTTCACTGAAATACTTTGCAGTTGAACAACAACAACCCTGTTCCTTAAAGTCTGACTTGATATCCAGGATCGGTGCTAAAGCTAAACTCAGCTGCTGCTGCATGAGGGGAGATGAAATGAACTTTTTAAAAAAAAAAAAAAAAAAGCCTCTACATGTTTTCCAGTTAGCTGAGAAAATCTGTGCATTAGAGATACCTGAGATGATTAGCTGAGCTTAGCATTGAGGCTAAGCAGCACCTCTAAAATTCATTAATTGGTCCCTTATATCACATCTGAGGACAGTTTGCACAAATAAACCCTACCTGTGATATTAATATATATTTCAAAATGGCTTAAAACACTTACTGCGATTGTATAATTCGTCTGGGCATTAATTGCATCCCTCAGTCGTTTCATTTTTTCTGAATCCTGTCGGAAAAAGTAAAAACATTTTGAGTTTAGTCACTCATCAGACAGCGGTGCAGCCAGCCGTTCTTCATGCATCCACTGAGTCTGCAGGGAGATCATCTGTTTGGACTGGCAGACTGACTTTGGCGTGCCGAGGTGGCCAGTCACACCTGTTTCATTTAGGCAGCCGCGATGCACAGTGATGTGGGAGTTAGTAATTTGGAGGGAAAGTGAGAAAAATGACTCACGGTGTAAGTTACCCTCTCGTCTGTCATCGACTTGACAAAGGCCAGGGCCTCGGCGGTGGCTGAGCGGATGTTGTCTACCCGACCTTCTTGGAAACGCCGAATGGAGGCGCTCTCGTACGTGGGGACGAGCCTCCCACTGCATCTGAGCCACAGACAGGATTTGAAAAGGTAAATTAACAGCAATGCATTTTGAATTAATTTAAAGATTTACGTATAAAATAAAGTTTACTTGTAGAATGCGAGCTGTAAAGCGACTTGTATGAAGGCGTCTGGACTCATCTTCTGCTTCTTGATAAATTCTTTCCCATAAACTTTGAATTTGAACACGTCCATGTCGAGATTGTTCACCAGCCTGAAGGAGAAAACAGGAAAGATGTTGGTTTCTCCAGAAATATTTGTAATTATTCGTAAAACTGGTCGTGTGAAACTGTGTTTGTGTTGGCCTTGCCTCTGGAGTCTGTCTCCAGATGCTGACAGGTTTCCTTGGATGTTGGGGTTGCATTTCCACAGCAGCCTTCTTGGAGGGGGAAGTTCTCTGAAGGTGGAGGACTTAACCGTCTCGGAGGGACTTCCTGTTCTGTTCAGAACAAAAACACTTGTGTTTCCTACATGGCTGGCTTCAGCAGCATTCACTGAGATGATGGAGGGAGCTAACTTACATATACTTCATCAAGAATTCAGAGCACTGAACCAGAACTATTCCCTCGAACGGCGAATGCTCACACACCACTCCACATATCCCGTCCATTCCTACCACAAACTGAGAGAAGGTGGTTTTAATAATTGTGAAAACATTAAACAGAGGATTGAAGAGCTTGGGATACACCCGTACCTGCATTGATTTGTCGTACCAGCGGTTTGCACCGTTCTTGTCACGGCCGCCACCGTGCAGCATCAGCAGGGCCCTGTTGGTGTCGCTGGGCTCCAGGCCGCTGGGCTCATCCAGACACACCACACATGTACAGCTCTCGATCAGCGCCAGAGAGTCCCTGTTGGTTTGATCTGCATGGAGGAGGAAGAGCAGTCAGCCATGTGTTGGATTTACTCATCTGGGAGTGATTTAAAAACCAGAAAGGCCGTCGTGCTGAGACCTTTTGTTAGTGCATCTCGAGCCTGTGCCCATTCCGTCCTCCCGTCAGATGTCAGGATGCCAAACGGAGGGAGTCTCTCTTCAGCGTTTTCGGACATTTTCGTGATTTTCTCCAGCTGGGATAAGATCTCCGTCTCACTGAGCTGCTTGCTGTTTGCGACGACATCCAACACGAAAAACTAGTGAAAAAAAAACAAATGATTGTTCTCACATATTGTACAGCATCACCTGAAAGACACATGATGCAGGAAATGCTGGGTTTAAAGTGCGTCCTTGCCCACTGATAGCTCCGTATAGCTCAGCCTGTGCTTCCTGTTGTGCAGCATTTGACCAGTTGAGGTAATAAAGACATTAGTAATAATGGCAGGGACTAAAAATAGCCGGTTTCCACCTCCAAAGTGGCTCCTCGACTGCGATCAGTCAAACATGCGACTCGAGGAAGCTCTCAGACAAAGTGGCAGATTTAATCAGCAGTAATTAAGTTAACTTCTCCATAGGGACGGGCCCTTATGCGCCGCAGATTGATAGCTCCCCAAACCATTTCCAGGTGAGAGCTCCTGCAGATGTTAGCCGGATGGGCTCTACGCATTTGTGAAGATTATCTGTTAGGACGGAGATGTTCTGAGGAGGAAATGAGATGGTGGTTGGAGCAGACTACAGATTTATAGGTAGGCTGAAGATCTGAGAACAAAATAAAAGTTTGCAATATCTGTGGATCAGTTTAACACCAAGCTTGTAGATTTTGCATGTGTGTGTGTAGATGAACCTCAGATGTATATGGTTCTAGCCTTGATCAGACTATACCCATATTTCTTCAAAACATTTCTTATGAATAGAAAATATCCAAGTTGAAATGCACGAGGCGTGATTGAAAACTTTCTCAGATCGTGCTGCTGAGTGTCACTACAGAGCTCAGAAAGTGAGATAAGGTACATTTATATTCGTTAGACTGGGTCTGTTCTGTTTAGTACTTCCTGGTCTGTCAGATCTGATTTGATATCCTGCTCAGTTTAAATATTCAAATGGACATCACTAGATAGCGTTACACTGGGCAGCTTCATACAGGCACCGTGTTTTCAGACTGAATTTTTATTTTGTGACTCTGTTTCACTATTTTTTTTGCCATGTAACTGCTTATATATTCAATGTTAGGCAAGCAAGCCAGTAAGTTAATGGACACAAAACTTTGTGTTCAGGACTGATCAACAGGATGGAAGATGCTGAGTGGATATAAACGTTCCTGTCATTTGTAATGCATGATATTCAAACCCACCACTCTTAATTGTAATATTGTTTTGAAGGCAGTTTAGATGTTTAGAATAGCTTTCCACTTTCAAGGCATCTCCACGAGAGAGCAGCTTTCAGCATCTATTGATAAAATAGAATGTCTTATTCCAGCATCCTTACATGTGCTTATATTTCTCTCTCAGATAGACAGGAGAAGTGTGACGGAGTGTGAAATGTCTTCTCAAAGGGCCAGTGTCCTGACCTGGTTCTTGCACGCCACGATCATGTGCTCCGGCGCTGAGGAGGCTGCGTTCATGTGGACGTTCAGCGTGTCTGTCTTCAGGCCCGGGTAGCGGTAGGAGGTGAAGAGGCGGTAGTACTGCTCCATGCACTGAGGAGTCCCGGCTAGCTGGCCTCGAGTGAATTCCACTGGCAGCGCTCGCCTGAGAGTCGTTATTACACACATCAGATTACTTCTGAGGACTCTCACGGCTCATTATCGTGCCATAATTTTAATCTCAAATCCTCTGAGATCGCAGGGCGGCAGGTAATCCATTAACTTACGTGTCAACCAGGGCCTTATACTCCAGCACTCCTCTGATGAGACGGGCAGCGAATCTAAAAGAAGATTGAAATTTAGAAAAGAACCAGAGAGTTTGTTGGAGAACATGCTCAGCCGACTGGCCGGTGATTATAATTAGATATAAGGCTCATCTCTCAAAGGGACCAGCAGTAATCACATTACGGCAAATTACTCGGATACAGTGAGCGAGCTGTGTGTGTTTATCTGTGAGAGAGAGAGAGAGAGTCGGCCTGTGTGTGTGTGAGTGGGCGGTGTGGGCAAAGAGGGAAAACACAGTGGCGTGTCAGGTCTTATGCTGTACGTCGTTTGTCTCGGTGTTATTACGTTCAAAGCCAGATCAATACAAAGGAGGCAGCCACGGCGCACCACACCCCTAAATGAGGCCTGACTAGCAGCCTCTGTGGAGAGCTTGGCCCTGTCACTCCCAATCTAATGAGCGGCCGTGTCAGTAGATTACCAGCTGCTCGGGGTGCTCTGGAAATATTCAGTTAGTGCGGCGCGAGCTGACAAAAGCTAATGTTGAGTTACAGGGCTGGACGGACCGGTGCGATGTCTGGTGGGCCACGGCTCATTTAATAATGGGCAGAGATTCTTTCCATGACTGTAGTTCAGATCTTAATCTGAGCCTGCTGAGGAGAACGTAAACCCTGTCAGCAGATAGAGAGCTGTGTACAAGCTGCAGTTTCCTCAAGTTTGATCTTTACTGTTTGACCAATGTTGTCACTAATTGAGAGGAAGGATTGAATTGACTTTCTGGAGTAATTTGTAACTCAGAACCTGCTGTACTTTAATGTTGTGTGACTTGTGAAGTGACTTTTTGTTTTTGCACTTTGTTGCATTACAAAGGCAGCTTCTACTTTCTGTCTGAGGTACAGATTTTCTACGTTTTACAAACTTCCCAAGCAGCATAACAGCAACTGTGAGGAACGAGGATGTCAAGCTAAGCTAACTGATAATTTATGTTGATTTTAAAGCCAATATTTTAAGGATTCCAGCTTACCTAACTCAACAAAATGTGATTTCTTTTGTCTTACATCAAAATAAACTCTTTGACAAGGAATTTAATGTTGTTGGTTTAGATTACGGGAATCTAGCGTAAGATGTTTTCTATTTTCTGACTTTTTTTTTTTTTGCACAAATCAACCATTCTGTCACCCAAGAAAGTCACTGAACTGGCAGATTGACTGAAAAAGAAAAATAATTTATTCTATTCTGGTCTATTGAAGCTGCTTCCACAAAGTGAATGTGGTTATTTCCTTGTATTCTGTTAAGATAATCAAACCAAATACTTTCTGCTGCCAGAGGTGATACTGGAAGTATTTGCATGTTGTGTTGCAGATATTTATTTTCATATCATCTTACATGTTGCCTCAGATTAGCTCTTCCGACGAATCGCTCTTGTCATTGACCTACACGATGCTGTTTATGTGCTGCAGCAGTTTCTCTCTCCTTTGTCAGGATCTTTCTCTGCCAACGAAGGAGGGAAGATAAACTTGTACAGTCTGAACAACAGCAGAACCAAAAACCCAGCACGTACCTGAGGACATCCTTCTGATCCCTGAACGTCTGCTTGGGAAACACCATGACGGGACTGGAGTTGACGGGCAGCGCCAACCTGTTGTTCAGGTACATGTCCTCCAGCCAGTAGTCGTACACCTGGACGTGAACACGGGGACAGCGTGTGAGACATGTGGCTTTGTTGAGCACATTGGACTCAAGTTATTACTTTCAGAGTTGAGACCTGTGGGCGATGGAGTAAAGAAGAAAAAAAAAAAAAAAGCATAATAGTGTGTCACTGCCAGATGAGAGGGAGAGTCTGAGAGTCTGCTGCTGTGAGAGTGGGAGTGTGATAGATTTCACTGTGAACCGACCGATCACCCAAACGCAGGAGGGGAGACTGAAGCAAAACAGGACAAGCAAAGGCTCAGATAAATCTTCATCTCCAAGTGCTGGACTTCTTTTGTTTTTTTCATCTCTTTTATGAATGTTTTATGTATTATTTTTTGGAATTTGGTATAAACAGTAAACCAGAGGCAGCTTTCATTTTCAGACAATTTGATGCCTTATCAGTTAAAGAACAACACAAAGCTGATTATAAATACTGTAGAAGGTTAAGTTCACTTAGTAGCACATGCATACAGAAAAATGATGGAATAAGAGTGATCTACAAAAGGAGAAAAACAAAAAAAGACATAAAAACCAAAGCTCTTTATTGATACAAAAGGAAAACTGAGTGGAATGTGTTCTTTTTCTTGTCTTTTTTTTCCAGCTCATGCACCTACAACAAGGAGCAGCGGTGTCATTTTAAGATCCGAACGTTTACCCAGTTGGTCGTCTTGTCCCTCCTCTCTACAAGCTTCTTCTGGAGAACCTCTCCGACGCCTCCAGGAGCGCCGAACTTCTCCACGATGGCCTTTGTTTTCTTGAACTGCTCCTCCTTCACCAGGTGCTGGACGCACTTCAGGTACGTGTCGAGGGTCTGCTTCAGCGGGGGAACAGGGACCTTGGGCAGCACCTGGAAAAAAAAAAAGCACCAGATTGGCACAAATACAAGTAACAGCGGAAGGACAGCAGCTGTTCAGTGTGTGAATGTCTCTGATTCATTAGTTAAAGGACTAATTCCCTCACATGTTTTCTTTATGCTTTTATCATTAGAGCCCCAGTTAATAATTCATCTCCAATGCTTTGAGGCCTATTTGAAAATAAATGCCCCGGCCTCGCGGGCATTGTTTCTTTAAGGATGGAAAATGCAAATTGATTATCTTTTCTGTCTGATGTTTGATCATTTGCATTCTGGATCCTGTTGGTAAGCCAAGACGTTAATATTGATAAGTGCAGTGCCATTGTGTAAAAAAAAAAAAAAAAAAAAGGAAAAAAAAGCTGTGGCTACTACGTTAATGGAACTGGGAGGATTTTTGTGACTCAGGAAAACCAATTTCAATTAAGCACCAATCAACCTGCAGCAAACACAGTTGCAATGTTATAATCTGGCTGTTGATTTTGTTTCCATGAGTGCATAAAAAGAGAAATGTGCTATATCAGTGTCGTGAATTTGGGTTCATACCACGAACAGAGGAGAGGCCTGCTGTGAAATGTTCGCCCCTAGTGGCCAAGCAGGAATCTGGCGCTGTCCGTGGTGCTGAAATCCAGCAACAGCTGCCAACTTCAGCACCACGGACAGAGACAGCACTCGGAAATACCCCCAGAAAAAGTGAAAATGTAGATGCAAAGAAGACATTTTTGAATCATATTAATAACAAAATAAAAATTAGAAAACAGTGACATGTGTTCGTACTTGGCTGCCTTGGTCTCTGGCCGTCTCTTTCTCCAAGATGGGCATGTTTGCAATCCAGTCCGGTCAGAGGGAAAATAATGTGGAAAGCCTCTGGAGACAGTTTGAGTTGAGCTTTCCCTGCACGGAGCATGTTTAGACATTTTAAAAGGGAAAAGCAGGACAGTAAATGGGAGGGGGGGAAAAACATGAAGCAGTAAATAAAATTAGGCCTATTGAGAAATGTAGCTGCGCGTCTGAAAGTGAGCCAGCAGGCTTCCATTCTTCATCATTTTTGTTGCAGCCTAATGCAATTTCCTGCTTGCCCTTGAATTCCAGCTGCGCCTCATCGCTCACCACTGCAAAGAGATGCACATCTAACCAGTACTCAGTTTATCTCTCTGTCACTATTTTTTTTTTTTTTTTTTTCCAATGAAACAAATGACAGTTTTATCCAACTAAAGGAAAATGTTTGCACTTGTTTCTTTTTTGGTGCGTTTTATTCTGAAAAGTGTTTTAAATTGTAGATAATCCAGAATATTTGGATGCACATCTGTTTGATTGAAAACAAGTAAAATAATTAACAAAAAATAACTTTGTTTTTTTTACAGCAAAGTGAACTTTTAAAGTAAATTAAGAAGAATAGCGTTCCTCATTGTGCCTCCCAAAAGGGCTCACAACTTTTAAAATGTGCACTTTTTTTTTTTTAAAGAGAGAAAGCATCCGTCTTACCTGATGAATGCAGGAGGTCAGAGGGATGCGTGGAAGTTCAGATCGCCTCCCACTTCCACGCCGTGCGAACCCATATTAGAGTAAAGCTCCGTTTACGCGCCGGACTGCTCCCCCGCTCCCACGCCTCGCCATAAGGCTGTGGCTCCACATTAAAGCGCGCCTTGGAAAAGATGCTGAAGGTGTTTGCGTTTACCTACCCCCTTGAGGCAAGAAACTCCTCCCATCGAAATCTATTCGCGGAACATATTATGTGACAGCTTGCTTCACCCCCCCTCCCGCCCACATCCGATAGTAATTTTAACATATAAAAAAAAAAGTGAGTCCAGAGGAGAGAGTCGGAGTTCGGGTTTGTCATTCAGAGGTCCTGTTGATGGCCCTGAGGTACAGGTGACAGTTATGGTGCTTTTATTGTTTAGATTTAAGTCCTCAGCTTTCTGCACAACTTGGGATCCACCTGTCAGGAAAATAAATCTGTTTGTCTGCTCTAGATTAATTTTCTAACGTGTTCAGTCCTGGTGTTCATACTGTGACTAACGCTTCTGTCTGTGCGCCTTTTTGCGCGCCGAGAGCCGCAGTTTGTGGAAACCTAAAGTCAGAATTAAACTTTTTATTCATATTTTCTACATAATTAGAATTGTTTTTTTTTCCAACTTCTTTTCTTCTTGTGGAATCTGAACCACTTTCATCCTCTAAATTATTCTCTCACGTCTCACTCAGAATGACTCCTGTCTCAGTTTTCATTCGTTTGAAATGACAATAAAAATCACGGCTGTCACACAGATCCAAACAGAGATTTATTAAAACGACAATTGTTAAATGAATACATATTTGTTCATCTTAAGGAGACTGACTTCATTGGCTACGTCTTGACAAAATGTTTCATACGCACACGCGCGCGCACACGCACACAAACACGCGACACACACGCACTTTGTAGAGGTCCACGTATGTCTGTTTCTTTTTTCTTTTTTAAACAATTTACATTGTGCATGTATCCACATATGTACAAAATCCATTTATTATGGTACATTTAATTTCAACACCAAAAAAACATCGGAAATAAAAATAATAATAACAAACAGGCCCACAAGTTACAAAATTAACATTCACGAATTTTTTAACAACCAAATAAAGAACTCAAAGAGGCCTTTGATGTGCAAGTAAAAAAAGTTTCCTCAGACTAAAAATATAGGCTATTTTGTGTAAGGGGGGGAAATGTGCTGCTTATAGTTGGTCCCATATAATCTTGTACGCACATTTATCTATTTGTATCTTCTTTTTTATATATATAATATTCATTAATACACACAAATTCAACAGTAGCTGATAATCTCTCACAAAACTCCAGTTATACGTCCATGACAAACGCTACATAGACTTGTTCGACACAATGAAACCACAGTCAAAAAGAAAAAAGAAAAATCAACTTTGGAGAACGGATCACACAATCATGATTTTGGTGATTGGGTGTTTATATTGCACATCGGTACTTACATAAAAGTTGAAACCACTAGATTATAACCGGCCTGCCTCGTTTACACGCCTCCCCAGGGGAATGTTTCGGGTGGTCGGTTCAGAGTGTGACCGCTCTAAGTGTACTCGGGACCGGACGACTCCTCTGACAAGGACCGCTGTGCTCTGAACGGGTCGAACCCGTTTTCATCTACTGACAGGCAATTCCCTGCCGAACTGTAGCCCTTCTTTTTAGCTCTCCTCTCCTCCATCTTGATAGTGTCGTACAGCCCCTGCGGAGCCTCCTCTAACAGGTTATCTCTCTCTGAGTAGGACGGTTTCATTTGGCACACGTTGCGCAGCAGCAGCAGGGCTGGTGCGTAAAGCACATTGACGAGACCCATACCCAGATTAAGTTGTACAAAACCGCGATTGTGCACTATCTGCCCGGCTACTATAGGACCCATAGCATACGCGACAGAGTAGGAAATATCAGCTATAGCATAAACACTACCGTACACGGAAACATGACGCACGTCAACTAAAAACGCGAGTGTCGGCAGCAGAGCTGTGTCGACCAGTGCGATGCCAAAACAAATGCCGCACAACGGGGCGATGAGCTGCCCAAAAGTTTTGCATGCGGGGACTGTGCAGGAGCTGGCCCCTATGATAACCATACCTACAGCTCCGTAGAACCACTGCAGATTTGGATGTTGTGCTGCCAGTTTAACTGTTATGTAAACGCCGAGGACATGAGGGAAGAAAGCTGGGAGCCAGGTGAGTCCCATCTCCCACTGAGAGGAGTGCATGGTGGTCTCCATCCAGTTGGCTATGGTGGGCTCTAGAAAGGCAAGGGGGATGTTGCACACCGTGAGCGCCCCGGCCACCACAGCTATGTAGGGGTCAATCATGAGTCTGTATATGGGGGTACCGACCGGCATGTTCTCTCTAGTCCTGTTGGAGAAGGGCTTGATCACGGTGAGCAGCATTAAGCCGTCCACCAGGCAAATGCAGGCGAGCACGATGAAGGGCACCCGCTTACCCGCAAACTCGTACAGGACGCCCCCGAAGGGAGGCGCCACCAGACTCCCGAAAGAGATGAAGGCCAGGGCGATGCCGAGCGCCCTGCTCCTCTCTGCCTCCTCCGTGTATTTGTCTGCTATCATCGCGATTCCAGAGGTGTCCGCAAAAGCAGAGCCCAGACCCTGCAAACTTCTGGCGGCAAAGAGCGTCGCATAGTTCTCCCCGAAAGCAAAGATGCAGGTGGACACGAACATGACCGTCAGTCCAATTAAAAGTGGAATGTCATATCCAACCCGGTCTATGAAAGTTCCCGACAGCGGGTTCACTAAGAGCTGGAGGATGGCTTTGGATGCAAAAAGTACTCCTATCTGGACATCTAAATTGTCCTTGTTGCTTTTGTCTTGGCTTGTGCTGTTGGCTGAAGTGTTGGGATGCATCACTACGTGGACGTGCTCTGACTGCTCACTCTCCAGATCAGCAAGATAGTCTGGAATAATTGGCACGATTACCATGTAGAGCATATTGTCCAGCAGGAGAGCCACGCAGACAATCACCAATATGATCCGTCTCTGCTGGTGAGGATCCTTCATCGCGGTGCCTAACTGCTTGGTTCTTTCGCCCATCTCGGACAGTTTGACGGCGGCTGATTTGGCCAGCCCGGAGGGTCCTCCTTCTCCATCCATGGTGTGCTTTAATTTTTGTGACTTTTCGATTCAAAAAAAAATGTAGTTGTGCTTCTCCCGTCTTCTGCCGGTTCTCTCAACACCTCGGATGACTCATTGGTGTTTTCTCTACATTGATGTAATGCTCTCCGTCCTCACCTCGCCTGTGCGTAAAGGGAGAGGCGCAGAGGAACTTGGCTGCTTCATCGGTGAAGATGGCTTTCTTCAGGTCCCTCGGCTTGTCCTCGGCTCAGCCGCATCCGATGCTGTTTCATGATCTCCCGAGAAGTGACGTGGTGAAATCGTAGAATTTCTGCACCTTGCAGAGGTTTCGGCCACTGTTCTCACATGGCAAAGTTTTGTTTGGAGAGATTTTGTCACTTATTTGCAACGCATAAGACGCTCAAACTCTCCTATCTCTGTGTTCATGCCTCCTATCACCTGTGGCACTTTTGCGCTCTGCTCTGAGACCACGAGTGACTTCGTGGCCATTGGTGCACATTAACCCGCAGGTTCGGCGCTATTTTAGTCCTTTTTTTGTCTCCCCTTTTCACCAAGAGCTATGACGCATCACCAGCTTGCCCCCAAGTGGATCCCTTCGCCACTTGCCTCCTTTATGTTAATTTCCAACCGTGGCAGCAATCACTTCAACCAATAAGAGCTGGTGAGCACTACAAGAGTGGGGATGGGGAAAAAGAAAAAAGAAAAAAAAGAGTCTTTCTTAGTCCTATAATATCCAGTGTGTGGCTCTTGGCGTTGGCGTTCTGGAAAAAAAGAAGTGACGTTTCACATTTAGAGACACACATGAGCTGATAAAAAATTATTATTATTTTTTTTTTTTGAGGTAAATCTGTCTGATGTTGATCTCAACACAAAAATACAAAAACCAAACACATTAAAACACATGATCAGCCTATAGGACTATAAAGCTGAAGATAAACATCACAAACATGATTTAAATGACTATAAACTCAGTATTCGCCTCTGAGTCTCCATAGATTTTTTGGGGCATATATATATATATATATATATATTAATATTAGTGCCACTGTATATTTTAATCAGATGTTCTAGTCAGTAAATTTATCAATTGCTTCAGTACAAATTTAATATATTTGCTTTTTCCAGACAGACTGTGCACTGGGCAGGCACTCAGCAGCACTGCTCCAGGAGCTGAGAAGACTTCAGCACCGTGAGGCTGTGAACAGCTTCAGTTACAGAAAATAAGTCAAGCAGCCAAAGATCCAGCCGATAAGAGGAAAACATACAGATCATTGCTTTCTTAAACTGTAGCCTGAAACTTAAAACCTTACAGTAATAGTACAATTATGTAATATATATGAGAAGACTATTGCATGCAGCTCTTTCCGTGTCGACCAACACTATGACCAGATTCCATATTAGTTTAAACATCAGCGACACCTTGTGGTGAAAACCAACAGGTACACTGTACAACAGAAGTGAGTTCACCTCTGAGCAAAATCACGTGTAAAATGATTTTTAAACGCACTATTTCTCAGTTGAACAGTATTTCTTCTTGTAAGCAATCAAAAAGAAATATTGCAGGAACACTATATTTAAAATGCAAGTCCTAAAGTAGAAACTCGGTGCAACAAAAGTGAAAACACACGTACTGTCATTGTCATAAAATGACCTGTGATCAGCAGAACCTTCTCAGTCTTGGACCTACTGACTGCATCATGGCTCCAAATGGAAAAGAAATGTCAAAGTTTAAATGACCTTTAGTATGAACGTAATATTTCTATAGACATGTTGTTTTTATGTTTACTCATTCATTTTTTGAGCATTTGTTAAGGTCATGTTCTTGTTTATTGAATTATACCAGGCGTCAAATTCTGAGCTTTTATTTTGAAAGCGCCTCGCTCGAAGGAGCTTCCAGAGGTTTAGCGCTGTGTCGGTATGTGAAAGTGCGCCGGTGTGTAGAAGACTACGACCAAGGAGTGAGAAGAAAGTGATTGTTATTAGGGTCCGAGGACCCCTACTTGCTGCAGCAAGCAGCATTGTTCCTGCTGCGTTTTTTTCTTTCTTCTTCTTATTTGCCTGACCAACGCGTTTGCCTTAATTAGACCCCCTAAACACGCTCAAAAACTCACCAAAATTGGCACACACGTCTGAATCAGCGAAAAAGTTTGATAAAATGAAAAAAAACAAAACAAGAAAAGGCTCTCTAGCGCCACCTAGTTACAGAAAAACACACTAAAATGGCCCTAGCGCCCAGTAGGAATGTCGCACAGAGATCAAACCAACACCAAAATGTTCGTCTCAATGAGACCCACAAATCTCGTGCTGATACCCCTGAC